TGTCTATTCTGCTGATACTCTGCCTAGCCGTGAGACTGACATAGAGTAGGCATCCAATAAATATCTGTTCAGTACATCAGCAGGTGAATGGTGAAATCTTTATTGAATGAATGAATAAATTTGTTGTTGTTGTTAGGTGCCGTCTAATCAGTTTCAACTCATAGTGACCCTACATACAACAGAACGAAACGCTGCCTGGTCCTGCACCATCCTCACAATTGTTGTTAGGCTGAGCGCATTATTGCAGGCACTGTGTCAGTCCATCTTGCTGAGGGTCTTCCTCTTTTTCGCTGACCCTCTACTTTACTAAGCATGATGTCCTTCTCCAGGGACTGATCCCTCCTGATAACATGTCCAACGTATGTGAGACGTAATCTTGCCATCCTTGCTTCAGAGGAGCATTCTGATTGTACTTCTTCCAAGACAATAAATTAGTCAGTGATTTTTGGCGTTCTGAGGAGCATTCTGGCTGTACTTGTCCCAAGACTGAATAAATTAGTCAGTGATTTTTGGTGTTCAGTTAGAAGGAGGGAAGAAGGAACTTGAGCAGATCAGGAAGCTCCTGTAAGTCTTCTCAGAGCACCCCTGAGTCCCAAGGAATCCTGTAACTTCAACTCACAGGTCTCTCTATCTCTCCTGTCTCATTTGCTGGAGGCCAGTTGGTTAATGTAAGGGAATAATGAGGCCACAGGTGTAGGTTCATCCCAGGTGGATCGGTTAACTTCATTCTGAGAAGGACTGTTCCATAGCCACAGCCTGCAGGTGTTAGGAGCTAGACACGGACAATTTAGAGAAACCCAGACACAGGCAAATGCACAGGGGCATCAAGGAGCACATCCAGTATATCAACACTGAATTGCAACTAACATTAAACAAATCAACAAACAACACAGGTATACTACACTGAGTCAGATGTATGCGTGTTTCAGCACAACGAAGTCCTGATTCTAAAAACCGAAGTGAAAGATTTTGGTTAATTTCAGTCCTATACCCTTTTTAAGTTAATCTTTTAAGTTGTGTGGTGTATGTTTCTTAGAGAAAATTTGAAGAATAAAAAAAAAGAAGAAATAAAATTGCCCATCAAATTCCTCAGTATTTTAATGGATTTGCTTCCAAGCCTTTCTTTTACATAGCTGAGTTACATATCCAGAATATGTATACATGTGTGTATGGAGTCCTGATGGTGCAGTGGTTAAGAGCTATGGCTGTTAACCAAAAGGTCAGCGGTTCAAATCTACCAGCTGCTCCTTGGAAACCCTATGAAGCAGTTCTGCTCTGTCCTATAGGGTCACTCTGAGTCGGAATCGATGGCAATGAGTTTTTAGTTTGGTATATATGTATATGTATGTATGTATGTATATACAGTGAAACCTGTGAGAACCAGAACTTGATGGGACTGCTTTGTTTTTCCAGGTCTTGCAAGTTTTCTGCCTTTGACAGGGTACATGCAGTCTCGCCACTTTTCTATTGCTCTCTATTTGTGGAGAATATTTGAATTTTCCTTCTCTGATAGGTTTCTGCATTACACAGTTCCCATGCAACCTAGGGGGCTCATTTCCCAGCACAGGGAAATATTCTTTTGTGATCCATAGGGTTTTCATTGACTAATTTTCTGAAGTAGATTGCCAGGCCTTTCTTCCTAATCTGTCTTAGTCTGGAAGCTTCACTGAAGCCTGTCCACCATGGGTGACCCCGCTGGTATTTGAAATCCCAGTAACATAGCTTCCAGCATCATAGCAACACGGAAGCCACCACAGTACGACAAGCTGACAGACAGGTGGTGGAATCCATCACTAGGTAGTGGAAAAGACAATTTGCTTTATCTCAGAGTTTACATACAGTACTGCACGTTTCATTAAACCAATATTGGCATATTTAAAAGAACACACAAATCAGAGTGTCTGCTAATCCTCACATATCAAATCAAATTGTTCTTTAGTATAAATACTAGATAATTCATACTCGGTTAGCTGAAAAATCAATTTTTTCTCTTTCCTTTTTTTTTTTTCAATCAATAAGAATTTAGTGATGGGACTAATAAAGTACATTGATAGTCCTTTCTGCAAAGGCTCTTTTTCATCATTACTTCCTATAACACTGGGTTTTCCCATCAAGTACTCCCTGTGCATGGTGCTGGACAGTTAAGTATTCCCTGTGCATGGTGCTGGCCAGCTTGATACAGGGCTTGCTCATACTGAGTTATTTTTATTCCTTATGCTCTGAGCTACCAAATGAGAATTTTCTAACAGATTGCATTTTCTAGTTATTATTAGTTTAAATTGTTTAGACTCACTGGAGAAAAATAAATAATGGTAGGAAATTTCACACACACAAAAAATTCTCCACGAGGGTGGTATATCTTTTCTCTTCCCTTCTGCCTCTACAGTACATTCACACTGCCTCCGGAGTGTGACAGAGTTGCTCTCTTCTGCATGGATATCTAGGAGATGGAAAGTGAGAACAAGCTAGGTCACAGAAGGTGTAAGAGAACCAGTTTTCATTGAATGAACTGCCCCATAGGGTTTCCAAGGAGCACCTGGTGGATTCAAACTGCCAACTTTTTGGTTAGCAGCCATAGCTGTTAACCACTATGCCAGCAGGGTTTCCGGATGAATACTATGATGTGTTAAATACTAGGCTAAGTTCTTTATTCATTTTATTATATACCAAAAATACCAGTTGCTATGGAGTTGACTCTGACTCATGGTGACCCCATGTTTGTCACAGTAGAACTGTGCTCCATAGGATTTTCAATGGCTGATTTTTTGGAATTAGATCACCAGGCCTTTCTTCCAAGGTGCGTCCGGGTGGACTTGAACCTCCAGCCTTTCAGTTAGCAGTCAGTGCATTAGCTATTCGCACCCCCCACGGGCTTCCAAATAAAGATGTCTGCAAGCCTATTTCTTTCACGTATTAGATGAACAGGATGACTACTACACTACAAAACTTTATTATATTTAATCCTAATCCTATGAGGTAGGAATTATATTTAAAAAATTAGGAAACTGAGGGTAGGGATGAGGAATGAAAATAATACTTACTGAGTATAAATCATGTTTGGTTCAATGCTAGGTACAGTACATGGATTATTTCATATAATCTTCATAACACCATGTTATGAGGTAGCAATTCTTAGAAAATTTAAATAAATGACAGAGTAGAGTTATAATGCAAGTTTTTATGCCTCCTAAACCTATGTCTCTTTTCACTTTTCCATGCTGCTTCCCCTCTGTGCTCAACAGGTACAGACTGTAAGATTTTAAAAAGGCTGAGCTAGATAATTTCTCAAAGCAACTAAAACTTAAAACACCAAAACTTTGAGTACAAAACCCTTATGAACAACTAAGAAAGCACTGTATAAATTGTGGATTCCTGTAGACACCTTTTCTTAATAAAATTTTACCTGACCCTCCAACCCCTTTAAAGCCTGCATTTGGTTTTTGAGAAATGCTTTCAGGGTTTTTTTAGACTCACTTTAATCTTGAAATCTCTAGCAGCTTCAGTCAACTCCTGCTCACCTCTCATTACAAAATGCAACTCCCTCTTGAGCGATTGGGCTCAGTCTCTACATGTTAAATCACTGTGTGTGGGCACCCATGTCAGCAGACATTTGTCTTCATACTTTTCTAGACTCTTCTCTCAACGAGATTCCTAGAACTTCCCTACCTTTTAAGAAGTTTATAAGCAAAAGACTTTACAACTAACCTTTTTCTTCAAATTGACATTATAAACCACCCTCCCACCTAATTCCAACTTTTAAGTAACAGAAAGCTCTCCAGAGTTACACAAGCAGCTTGTTGCTAGAAATTCAAGAGGCTGTGTAATACATTTTGTTCCACTGATAACTTTGGCTTACAATATTTAAGTTTACGAGAGAAAATAAGCTTTTGGATTTCCTTTGTGCAATTTGTAATCTAGAGGTAGGGAGCCGTTTGCCTAAGAAAATAACTCTCCCAACCCACCATCAGGATAGACACCTGGCATTTCTCTAACAAATGTTAAAGTGTTTCTTTCTGTATTAAAACATAAGACTGAAAATAGAAATACCATGGAGAAAAGTAACATTTGCTAAATTATACTTATGCTACCCTGCAAATGGAGCCCTGGTGGCACAGTGGTTAAGATCTCAGCTACTCACCAAAAGGTCGGCAGTTTGAATCCACCAGCTGCTCCTTGGAAACCTTATGGGGCAGTTCTACCCTGTCCTACAGGGTCGCTATGAGTTGGAAGCGACTCCACGGTAAGGGGTTTGGGTTTTTGTGTTTTCTTTTTTGGCCTTTCAGAAAATATTTAGTAGGGGAGTCATGTTGTATGCTGAGAATAAGTTTTAAAGTCAGCATGAAAATCGTGTGTAGTTAAAAATTGCTCTGGAAAATCCCTTAAATCTCCCATGAAGTGTGTTTCGCTACCATTTCTTAAGAAGTCCAGCATCGCCAGTTCTTTCTCAAGCTTTAACACAGATTGTTGCTTCTTTAATTGAGTTCCAGGTAGTTTGCTTGCATTTAGGGGCTGTGTGCATGAAAAATGCATACTTAGAATTACGTTCAGTGCAACCAGATGCTTGAGACACAGGGGAACTAAGTCTAACCCAGGAAACCAATAGATTCACAGTGTCATGCTCACACTGGGACATATATATGCTCAGGAATGGAATGGTGGCAAGGATTTTATACACTGTCTAAGTTGTTCTGCTTTTTCTTTCTGGCTGAGTGAGAATAGTTGAATTTGCACAAGTTAAAGCCGTATTATTCAGCTCTTCTGCATCTTCAACCAGATGCACAGTTCTTGAGCATTGTTTTAATCTCACTCCACCATTGGGGAAGAGCTGGGGAGAGGTCCTGGCAGGAAACCATGGAGAGCAGTAGAGTAAAGTGGATCCCTTTAGTTCCAGATCAGAAAAATGAGAGCAAATCACTATTTTTGGCTTTTCTAGGTGATATGCCAGATGGATAAAATAGTCCCCATTTTGATGATTATTTTTCTCTCTTTTAAACTCTCAGGCTGGTCCATTCAGGTCCTGGAAAGGGATCACCCCAGGCTGGTGTGGATCTGTCCTTTGCAACCCGAACCGGTACCAGGCAAGGGATTGAAACACATCTCTTCAGGGCAGAGGTCAGCAGGGACCTGTCCCATTGGACAAGGAGCATAGTCCAGGGTTGCCACCACGCGGCTGAACTCATTACCGAAGTCACCACCCGTGAGTACGGCTGGTTCTGGGCTACCTATGTCACGCCATTACTGGAAGGATGCACCCTCTACTCCATCCTAGCCTCAAAGTAGTTTCCATTACTGGCCTTTGGGGTACTTAAAATTCCAGTGGTAAATGTAAACTTAAATTCTTCTAAATTAAAGACACTGTGTGCCTTACTAAAATGTAATTTAAGGTTTTGATTGCCTTATCCCGTTTTCATTCCAAAAAAGTTGGTAACTTGGATAGACAGATGTCATTTTCCTACATATAATAACCCCCAGGTGGCTTCCTGGAGGGATGAACTATGAGGCATATACTAGTTGGGTTCTTGGTTATAAACAACAGAAACTGATTCTGGGTAATTTATCATAGAACACAACTATTGGAAAGATATTCCATAGCTCACAGAATTGAGCTGAAAACTGGGGAACCAGGTTGTGCCAACGGGCAGGAAGCAAAGGCATCATCTAGGTAGGGGTAACGGGGCAAAGGTGTGCGCTTGGGAAGTGAGCCCCTGCCCCTGGCATGAGTAAGAGGTAGAGGCAAGATGAAAGGATCACCACATGAGTGCAGTCCACATGCATGTAGACCTGTAAGAAAGTACTAGTTAGTGGTGGACACGGGATGTGTACATAGAAGGAGGAACCACTATTTAGTAAGCACCTGCTTTATACCAGGCATTTTATATAATGTCCTCGGTGTTTTCAGTCCTGTGAGAAACAACTCTTTGTGAGTTCTGAGATCAATTAAAGGAAGCAAGACAAATATTTTGAAAAAAGAAATAAAATGGAACAGAAATATTAGTGTCAGTATTGTTTTGTGGAAATTTTGATTCAGTTGTGTGTGAGGGTGTCTGTGTCCTGGGTCACAATGTGAAGTGACTATCTTACTATGGCTCGTAATCCAAAAAGTTTGAATAACATCGTCTTATCTAATCCTCACAGTGGTTTCCTTGTAAACCTGATTTTACAAATGAGGAAGCAAATTCTTAAGGTTAAGTAACTTTCCCAAGATCACACAACTAATAAATGGCAGAGCTGACTTTAAGTGATACTGTAGAGTCCATTCTCCAGAGTCCATATCTACAGAGACCTGGGACTTCCCACTGTAAGGCCAGTGTTCCAACAAACAACAATTCTGTTCAGCTTCTGTAATAAGCAATTTTCATGCCACTCCCCAAAACAGGTAGGTAGATGGATGGATGGATGGATGGATGGATGGGGGGGGGGTTGTGGATAGGTAGGTAGACAGAGATAGATAATTTTGAAATTAGAAAATTGGGCTTAAGGAAAATAAGACACAGGAAAAGTAGTATAAATCTAAGATCATATTAATAAACAAAATACATGCTAAAAGATCTTGTGTATCACTGCGATGGACTCGATATTTAACCCAGTGTTTTTCATCAGCCAGCACAATACACAAACAACTATATCTATAATCCAGTTGTTCCTGGTTCTGAGATCTGATACAAACTTCTCTCAGATCTCCTGTGGACATTCATAAAGAGGGTGTTACATGTTTAAGCTAACCAAAAAATCGGCAGTTTGAACCTACCAGCTGCTCCACAGGGGAAAGATGTGGCAGTCTGCTTCTGTAAAGATTACAGCCTTGAAAACCCTATGGGGCAGTTCTACTCTGTTCTATAGGGTTGCTATGAGTTGGAAACAACTCTACAACAGTGGGTTTAGTTGGTTTGGATAGTATCCTCAACAACAACAACATAAAAAAACCCACTGCCATTGAGTCGATTCTGACTCATAGCGACCCTGTAGGATAGAGTAGAACTGCCTTATACGGTTTCCAAGGAGCAACTGGTGGATTCAAACTGCCGACCTTTAGATTAGCAGCCAAGTTCTTAACCACTGTGCCACTAGGGCTCCTCTTCATGTATAGACAGGGGGATATACTAGTACCTACCTCATATAGTTGTTGGTAAGAATTAAGAGGTATAATCCATGTAAAACACCTAGCACAGTTTTGGGCACATAGAAAGTCCTCAATGAGTATTATTATTAGTTGTTGTTCTTGTAATTATTATCTCCAGACCTGCATTGTCCAATAGGCTACCCTCTGTTCACATGTGGCTAATGGCTACCATGTTAGTGCAGATGTAGAACATTTCCATCATTGCAGAAATTCCCACTGTTCAGTTCTGCTCTAGAAGAACAGGATTTTCCACCAGACAGGAACAGGATTTTCTACCAGACACGAACAGTGCTTCTCGGAAACTCGAACTGCATTAAAAATAAACAAAAACCCTCAGGTGTCTCAGATTGCTGCACGCCACCTACAGAGATTCTGATTCAGTAGGTCTGTGGTGGGATTTGATTTATGATTTGCATTTGTTACAAAATTTTAGGTGGTACTGATGCTGCTGGTCCATGGACCACTCTTGAGTACTATTGCGTTAAGGTACAACTTCCTCAGTCAACCAGTAGTATTCTACACTTGATCTTAGCCAAAAGGCTGAGAAGCTATAACCAGTAGTATTCTAAAAGATAGGAAACAGTGCTTACTTCGGCAGCACATATACTAAAATTGGAACGATGCAGAGGACATTAGCATGGCCTCTGTGCAAGGATGACACATGAGGTGTTCTGTATTTTAAATAAAAAAATAAAAGATAGGAAACACATTGATATATGTAAGGTTTCTCCACATTTCCTCTACTTGTGTAATTTTATTGCTTTGGTGGCACTTCTGGGAGTATTGCTGGAGCTTTTGTTTTTGATGGCTATTCTGTATGGAAAGATAGACTAGAGTGTTGAACTTTAAAATTAGAGAAGGCCCAAGCCACCTGAAGACTAAATTTAATAAAATTCTGTGTGCAGTGCCAGAGAAGCTGAGACTCCTTGCAACTTCTAGAGCGTTCTAGGAAAGACTGAAGCTGGCAAAAGAGATTTGGTTTAGTTTATGTTCAACAAATTTTGTTAAAATTTTTCCCTCTCAATAAGCTGAACTCTACTTTGACAGGAAGATGATGAGGCTGTTAATAGACTAGCTAAAGGAGAATAACAACAATGTGTGTGGATTGACATTAGATGGGTGGTAAGAGAGAAGAAATCATGGAAATGACCAAACATGCCACCAGTTCCAAATTGAAAGATGCTGCTGAGAGTGGGGGGAGGGGGGTTATGTTTTAATTAACTTGGTATGTTCCATTTATCCTGTGTAGATTGAGAACATCTTCACGTAGCTGATTCTGTTATACAAAGGCCAAGACTACCATCTGAGGTCGACTAGAATTAAAACCCATCTGCTGATGTCAGATGGATATTGGCTGAAAGCAGAGAATATCAGAAAGATGTTTACCTGTGTTTTATTGACTGTGCAAAGGCATTCAACTGTGTGGATCGTAACAAATTATGGATAACATTGTGAAGAATGGGAATTCCAAAACACTTAATTGTGCTCATGTGGAACCTGTACATAGACCAAGAGGCAGTCATTTGAACAAAACATGTGGATACTGTGTGTTTTAAAATCAGGAAAGGTGTATGTCAGGGTTGTATCTTTTCACCATACTTATTCAATCTGTATGCTGAGCAAATAGTCCAAGAAGCTAGACTACATGAAGAACAAGGCATCAGGATTGGAGGAAGATTTATTAACAGTCTTTGATATGCAGATGATACAACCTCCCTTGCTGAAAGTGAAGAGGACTTGAAGCACTTACTGTTGAACATCAAAGACTACAGCCTTCAGTATGGATTACACTTAAACATAAAGAAAACAAAAATCCTCACAACTGGACCAATAAGCAGCATCATGTTAAACAGAGAAAATATTACAGTTGTCAAGGATTTCATTTTACTTGGATCCACAATCAACGCCCATGGAAGCGGCAGTCAAGAAATCAAACAACGTATTGCTTTGGGCAAATCTGCTGCAAAAGACCTCTTTAAAGTGTTAAAAAGCACAGATGTCACTTTGAGGGCTAAGGTGCGCCTGACCCAAGCCATGGTATTTTCAGTCGCCTTATATGCATGCGAAAGCTGGACATTGAATAAGGAAGATCAAAGAAGAATTGATTCCTTTGAATTATGGTGTTCACAAAGAATATTGTATACACCAGAGGAACAAACAAATCTGTCTTGGAGAAGTACAGCTAGAATGTTCCTTAGAAGTGAGGATGGTGAGACATCGTTTCAAGTACTTTGGACATGTTATCAGGAGGGACCAGTCCCTGAAGAAGAACATCATGATTGGTAAAGTAGAGGTTCAGCAAAAAAGAGGAAGACCCTCAGCAAGATAGATTGACACAGTGGCTGCAACGAGGGGCTAAAACATAACAAGGATTGTGAGGATGGCGCAGGACGGGGCAGTGTTTTGTTCTCTTGTACATTAGATTGCTATGAGTTGGAACCAGCTTGATGGCACCTAAGAACAACAACAAGAATTAAAACCACAGTATCAGTTGATTATCTGATGGCATATCTGATGGCATTGCTTTAAAGTTCAAGCATGAAGGAAAAACTAAAAGCCAGGCATATGGCCCATTCTTCCAAATACTCTGCAGCTGGTAGAAATGAAGAGGGTCAGCAAAGAGGAGCCTAAATGGGAAGGGTAGCTACCTGTGTGCCAGTGTCTTTGCTGGTCATCCTTCAACAGAGGACTTGAGCCCTTCTGAGAGGATAACTTACAATTTACCAAGGGGCTCTGCCCAGAAGGACTTATAAACCTGTTAGAGAGCACGTCTTTGGAAAATAGCAACCTTAGTTACAAGCTGAAAGATGTCTGCAGTGAGTAGGGAAGGGTCGAATGTTTTAATCAATGCTTCAGTTAAAAGCCACCTCAGTCTGTGAGCAGAGATTATATGTACTTATGCATACATGTTGTTGTTGTGTGCCATGGAGTCGATTCCAACTCATAGCCAACTTATAGGACAGAGTAGAACTGCCCCCATAGGGTTTCCTAAGCTGTAATCTTTATGGGAGAAGATTGCCAGGTCTTTTCTCCCATGGAATGGCTGATGGGTTCAGAACTGCCGACCTTTTGGTTAGCAGCCGAGCACTTAACCATTGCACCACCAGCGGTCTTTATTCATACATATTTATTCTAAATCAAGTGACATACTGACTCCAACCCTAACAGACCGCTGCTACTTTCTTCCCCCAAGTCTGAAGACCTCCTGCACACCACTGTCATTATTCATGAGGGAGGAGAACTGAGAGCCCTTTTGCCAAGGTCCCTCCACACATCCTCCGTATCCTAGGTGCCAGTGAGACAGACACATGGGACAGAGTGGAAAGAAGTTGCATTTTGAAATCTGAACAGCCCAGGTTGTGACATGTTCATGTCTCTGTGCTTAAAGTTGGCTTATAAAGCTGAGCTAAGCTAATGATGATAGACAGTGTCATGGATTGAATTGTGTCCCCCAGAAATGTCTGTCAGTTTTACTGAGTCATGATTCCCGGTATTGTATGATTGTGTAATCTGATGTGATTTCCTTATGTGTTGTAAACTCTTATCACTATGATGAGGTTATACTGATGACATCTGTGAGATTATAGACAGTGTCTTAATGCAGTCTCTTTTGAGATATAAAAAAGAGAAGCGAGCAGAGACACCTGGGAATCTCATACCACCAAGAAAGTTCCAGGAGCAGAGCGTGTCCTTTGGACCTGAGGTTCCTGCGCTGAGATGCTCCCAGACCAAGGAAAGACTGTTGCATCACAAGGACCTTCCTCCAGAGCCGACAGAGAGAGAAAGCCCTCTCCTAGAGCTAATGCCCTGAATTCAGACTTGTAGCCTACTGGACTGGGAGAGAATAAACCTCTCTTTGTTAAAGCCGTCCACTTGCGGTATTTCTTTTAGAGCAGCACTAGATGACTAAGACAGAGTAAACTCTCAATCAATAATTCTGTTACTCTTTGTTCCTCCTCCCAACCCCGATGTCAGCTAAGAAAATGTCCTGGTTTCCCTAAAGATCTTTTAGATGGAGATCAAGGCCTGAGCCAATTTACTGGCCAAGGTCTGTTAAATATGGTGTTTTGTGAAGCCGAAAATTCAATCTGATTTATAATACCTTTGCAGAATTCTTTGATCAAGGGTTTTAAAAATTCGCAAGTCTTCCTAAACAGGAATTAGGATTCTTGTGGCAGCCCCCAGTCCAGTTTACAAACTTAAAATACCGGTCTGTTTTCCTGAACACAATGAGAATCCCAGATAAAAGCTGGCTTCTGACCTGAGAGGCTTTAGCTCCATGCCTTTGGATTGGAGGACACCATGTGGACACTGTCTGAGGCTGCAGGATGCCACACTGGGCCAGAGGGAGGAAACAGCATTCCTAGCACATCTGAGCTCTGTCTGCACCAGCAGCTTTTCCAGCATCCCAGATCACCTGGGAAATTACATGAGCACTGCTTTCAATTTATAAGGAGCCCTGGTGCCGCAGTGGTTAAGAGATATGACAGCTAACCAAAAGGTCAGCAGTTCAAATGCACCAGCCGCTCCTTGGAAACCCTTTGGGGCAGTTCTACTGTGTCCTGTAGGGTAGATATGCGTCAGAACCTACTCAATGGCAAAGCGTTTCATTTTGGGTTTTTTTTTTTTTTGGTTCAGTTTATAAAATGAGTTCTATTAGACTTCTTAGAAACTACAAATTAGATTATTTTTAAAACTACTTACTATAGATTTCCTAAATATGTAACATTTGTTAACTTCGGTAATGAGATGGGGCAATGCTCACTTCTTTCACCAGATTGCAGATAAGACAGTGTGTGTGTGTGTGTGTGTGTTGATTATGATGATGATGGTGATTCCATGGCGGCTTATAGTAAATCAAATGTCTTTTTTTTTTTTTTCCTGGCTCGAGGCGAGGCTCATCTGGCCATTGGAAGACAAGTACACCTGTACACCTACTCATTGTCAGATGGTCAGATAAGGCTAGAACCCAGATACAATTCAGTAGATCCCAGTAGAAGGAATTTCCAAAAGAATTCCTTTCAGTTTATTTTCCTTCGTTCTATGGGGGAGTTAAAGTTACAGTATCAAAATAAATTCAAAGACAATATTCTCATGAACAATTACTATTTTTTAACTTTAGTAAGGAATTTGTGGATACTTGAAGTGTTAAGTGCCTGGGAGAATGGATTGACTTCCATGGTCATGCTTGCCTCTCTGTCTGTCTGTCTGTCTCTTTCAGCTTGCACCTATAAAAACCAGGAGTGCCGTTTGACCATACATTACGAGAATGGATTTTCTCTTACCACTGAACCACAGGAGGGTACCTTTCCCAAAACCATCCTACAGTCTCCTTATGAAAAGCTCAAGATGTCTTCAGATGATGGGATCAGGATGCTATATTTAGATTTTGGAGGCAAAGATGGAGAGATTGTAAGTGTGCTTATTTTTCAGGCAGTGTGATTTTATGTATTTCACTTTGCAGCACACGCCTATGATGACTCACAAACGTAATGCTCCCTCACATTCGTGCATTTGTGTAGCGTTTGGCTGTTAATGAAGCACCTGCAAATCTGTGTCGTCTGTGATCCTTGAAAAACAGAGACAGAATCCAGTCATTTCAAAGTTCCTTACTTTGGTCTCATTTTCCATTAGAAGGCTTCATAAATATTTGAATGACAGGAAAGAATCCTTTACAAAGTCAGTATTAAATCCTTATCAGATAGGGCCCCCGGCTCCAAAATGTATCATTCATTTTTTAAAAGTATCGAGCATCTATTATCACCTCAGCATTGTGCTAAATATAGGGATGCAGGGATGTAAAATCAAGACTTCGAACCAGTTAGTTCTGGTTTGAGCCCCTGTTGAGAATTTGCATTTCTAACAAGTTCACCTCCCCCCCCCAAAAAAAAAAAACCCTGCTGCTATCTAGTCGATTCCAACTCATAGTAGAACTGCCCCCACAGAGTTTCCAAGGAGAGGCTGGCGGATTCAAACTGCTGACCTTTTTGGTTAGCAGCCGAGCTCTTAACCACTGTGCCAGGCCATACTAATGCTGTTGGATAGGGAGCAACTCTGAGAACCACTAGTAGAGCCAGACGAGCCAAACCCACTGCCGTCAAGTCAATTCTGACTCATAACAACCCTGTAGGATAGGGTAGAACTGCCCCATAGGGTTTCTCCAAGGCTGTAATCTTTTCAGAAGCAGACTGCCACTTCTTTCTCCAGTGGAGTGGCTGGTGGGTTTGAACCGCCGACCTTTTGGTTGGCAGCTGGGTGCTTTCATCACTGTGTCACCAGGGCTCATTTACTAGTAGAGCAGTGGTTCTCAAAATTTATTATACATAAGAATCACCTGGGGATCTTGTTAAAATGTAGATTCTGACTCAGTATCTCTGGGGTAGTAACGCAAATTCTCAGCAGGGGTTTGAACCAGAATGAACCAGCTCGAACCCTGTGTAAAATACACAATCCCTGACACCAGGGAGCTCCCAGCGGAGCAGAGAGGATAGAGAGCAAACAGGTGCAGTGGTGGGGAGGACGGGGGGATATATGACTCTAATAGCTCTCCCCATACTGTGATAGCACACTCCTCCTTTCCACCCCTGATTCCCCATGTCCATTCAGCCAGCTACTAACCTTCTCTGCCTTCCCATCTCACCTCTGGACAGGAGCTGCCTGTTTAGTCTCTTCTATCTACTTGAGCTAAGAGGCACACTCCTCACGAGTATCACTTTATGTTCCACAGTCCGCTCCAATCCCTGTCTGAAGCATTGCCCTCGGAAATTGTTTTAGTTCTGGCCTGATAGAGAATCCAGGGGCCATGCTTTGCGGGG